CTAAATGGAATCATAGAGAATGTGATCTTTAGAGTCTAGCTTGTTTCATTTAACATAGTGCTTTTGAGATTCATCAGTGTTGTTGCATTTATCAATAATTAGTTGCTTTTTATTGCTGAGTAGAATTCCATTTTATGTACCTACCATCATCCTTTGATATTCGGTGATGAATATTTCACGCCTTTCTTAAGACTGAGTTGTTTGAATTACTTTAGGTCAACCAGATAAGAATTTTTAAACTTTTAGAGGAAAAATCAACTTTTACATATCAAATAAAAATTTATGTAAAATACATATACCACAAGACACTTTTTTGATCTTGTTCAAAGCCATTTATAAAATCTCTTGTTTTTCTTTGTTTTGGTAGGTATTGATTGGCAAGTTCGGCCTCCTTTGTCAGGACTTCCTCCTCTTGGTAAAACGTCTTTCAACAAGGAGCTTCATTTTAACACTTCCATTGCTAACTTGCTCATCCTTCGTGGGAAAGATGTGCATAGTGCAGATGTGGGTAAGCAGAAGTCAAGGTGAAAACAATGACGTAGATTTTGCACATGTATGTGGTACATGGTACACATGGTTAAAAACTCCCTGTATTTATTCTTATATAAAGGAAAGTAATAACTGTGTGTTTTAGTGGCAAAATATAACCATTATATCAGTTAGCATGTGACTGGAAACAAAAATAGAAGTAGTTTAAACAAGATAAAAGTTTAATTCTGTCATTTAAACGTCTGGTTGTTCTGGTCCTTACCTTGTGGCTTCCTCCTTATAGTCCAAGATACCCGTATGAGCTTCAGCCATTAAATCACACAGGAATGAGCAAAGAAGGGCATGCCTGCTCCTCCAAAAGTCACATATCACATTTGCATTTCTGTCCAATTGACTGGGACACATCATGTGCCACACCTGGCTACACGGGTGGCCAAGAGTGCAGTTAAAATTTGGGATTCTGTTACTAAGGAGGAAGGAGAGAATAGGATTTCTGGACAACCAGTGGGTCTTTGTGACAAGGATTTTGTTTTCAGGAAGTTGAAAGAGCAGTACCTGCATTACCTTTGCTTTTCTATGGCAGGTCTCTAGGTCATTTTATCCTTATTTGATGACTACAGCAGTATCAAATTGGGACTTCTTGCTGTGATATGCAGAAAACCAATCTAGTCTCTAATTCCCTTTAGATAAAGAACTAATAAGAAGTAAAAACAGATAATTTCAAGTCAATCAGATGTTATACTCTCTCAAGATTTTTCATTTTAGATTTTAAAACAAGGGGATTTAAAAAGGATATAAAACGCAATCCAACTTCCAAAAATTTACCCATAGCAAATGACATAAAAGCACCAGGTGTTCTTGCAAAGACATTCATTGCAACATCTCTCACACTAACAAAATGTGGAAACAACTGAAATGCCCAATATCAGGAAACTTCTTAAATAAATTATGGTATATTCATATAAGGAGCCTTTAACGATGAGTGGTATTTATTGACATAGAAAGAGGTTCACAACATATCAGTGAATGAAAATTGCAGATTATAGAAGAGCATGTGTGTAAAATTACACACATACAAGGAGGGTCAACAAAATGTTCATTGTCATCCTCTCTGGGTGGTTGCATTTCAGTTATTCTGGTGACTTTAAGATTTTCTTTTTAATACTTTCCTGAATGGTGTGAATTATTACTACTGTACTTTTTTTTTTGTACAATGAATATAGATCATTTATCCAAAAGCAATATAATGCTAGTTTTAAAAGGTTTATGATGAAATGGGTGAGAAAATACCCATTTATTAATTTGTTTTCACTATTAATAATTCATGCTGTAAAGAATGGCTTATGTTGTTTTTCCTCTAGAGGGATTTAAAGATCCAGCTCTCTATACTTCCTGGTTAGAGCCTGTTAATGCTTTCAAAGTGTGGAAAACCCAGCGAGCCTTTAACAAATATGAGAAGTCTGCAGCATTGGTCAGCAATAGCCAGTTCTTAGTAAAACCACTTGATGTGATTGTGGGCAAAGCATGGAATATGTTTGCTTCCAAGTAAGTAAAAAATAAGTCTATAAACCTTTCTAACCTTAGGCAGATAATATAGTGTTAAAGCATGAAGAAGGAAGCTGGCTGGTTAGCTCAATTAGAGCATGGTGCTGATAACACCAAGGTCTAGGGTTCAATCCCGGTGGCCAGCCACAGGGGGGGAAAAATAGCATGAAGTAGGATCTGGAGTGAGCATGGCTACCACTTTGTAGGTGTGAAAGCTT